GGGTGAATCCAGCTAAAGGGTGCGTTCCAAGTTACGCGTGAAGCGCACGATGTATCGGTTTATCTTTCTTTATTATTTGGTGAAGAACAAGGACAAATGATGCATCATGCGCTTCGTGCGTAACTCGGAACGCACCCAAAGTCTCGCTACAAATACTTTGAAGCGTTTGATGGACCAATTAAGCCTTGTGTACACGATGCTAGAAATCGGTCCGAGACCTCGGATGAAGATAGAATTGACCAATTGCAATGGTCATGTGATGCAGGCTGCAGTCCACTTGACGCTACAAACGCTTCGAAGCGTTCTTTGATTAGTTAATTCGTAAAATTCTTTGTTCTGATTGGTCGCTGAAACGCTTCGAAGCGTTTGTAGCGTCAAGTGGACCGCAGCCCAAATTGTTCAAATATGATTTGTTAATTTTTTCTCTGTCCGAGATCTCGGACCGGTTTCTAGCATCGTGGACACGAGGCTTTAGAAGAAAGAATTTTACAAACTGACCAATTAAAAGATGCTTCAAAGCATTTGTAGCATTGCGTTGACCGTGCTCTATAAGAAATAATTAGCGACAATAAATTGCATGTAAAACTTGGAAATTTTACTTTGAACGATTTTTTGCCATTTCTAATGTAAATTAACTTTAATCTCAGTCTTTATTTTTTTTACTTAGTAAACAAAAATTAATTAAACTAAGATTTATGTAAATCTACATTAATAGAGAAATGAACATCTGCCAGTTATAGAAGGAATAGAAGAAATAAGGAATTAGGAATAAAGATTAAATGATTTTAACCTATCAAAAATCGGATACATCGGAATACATGGTTTCTGATAGGTTGAAATCGTTTATTCTTTATTCCTAATTCCTTATTCCTTCTATTGTGCGCAGGGCCTTAGGACCATTCCACACAAACTTATAGCGTTTTCGGCCCGATCGGGTTTGCACCAACCTGGGTTGGATTAATCTTTCCTATTGGTTGATGTCACACGCTCTACCAATAGGAGAGCACAAAACGCCATTAATCCAACTCAGGTTGGTGCAAACCCGGCCGGGCCGAAAACGTTATTAGGCCGGAATCAGACTTACGCATTGAAGAATGAGATTGAAGATCAAAAGATTAAGGTTTGATCAATCAGAACAAGAGGAGCCAGAATTTCTTTGTCCTCATTAGTGAAATTTCAATTTTTTATCTTCAATCTCAATCTTCAAAGTATAGTCTGATTCCGGCCTTACATAGCCGCATAAACATATGCATAAAGAAAATCACCCAATCGTAGTTTACGTTAGTTGTCTTTATGACTGAAATGTGATTGGATAATTTTCTTTATGCATATGGTTATGCGGCTCTGCAAGCTGTGTGGAATAGCCCTTAAGCTAGTCATGGCGTGGTCCCATGGTGCGGAATTGGCGCAATGCGGAATTGGCGGAACGTTCGTGATTGGTCGTGGCTTCATTTCGCCGTTTTCTATTGCGTAAATTTCTTTCTTTTGTGGATTCCGCCGATGCTGATGTACGTACTTAATACTAATTAAGGATTAAATATGCATTATAACTTTTTCTTTTTATATGAAACAGTTCTCGTATTTCGTATTATTATCAAATATATACAAAAGCTGTGTTCCAAAGTTTACTGCCAGTACAGAAATCTATAGTTTACGTTGCACTATAGATTTTCAGTACTGGCAGTTCATTTTGGAACACAGTCATAATGTTTCATATAACCTAACCTAACCTAACAAAACTTTTGATGAGAAATTTATGAAACCTTTCCAATTTTTGTAACCATTTAATACAAAATTAATCAAAATCAAGTTATTATGACATTTAAAGGTGATATTTATATTAGATTTTTTTAATTTACTATAATGATTATTTAAATTGTAAATCTATTCATTTCCAAAGACTGAGCAATTTCTATTGTAATTAAACAGGCTGTGTTTCTTTTTATTAAAATTAAAGCTGGAAACACAATAGACACAGGCAATAGGGAATAACGAGCCATCCAATCAGAGCTCTGGGATATAATATCGAACTTATACCCCAAAGCTCTGATTGGACGACTCGTTATTCCCTGTTGCCTGTGTCTATTACCTGTGTCTATTGTGTTTCCAGCTTTACACACTCGAACACAGTTTGCCACGGGTGGCACCCAGTTGAACACGGTTCAATTGGACAGGAGCCACTCACAGCGCTTGAGACTACAAAGCTCCTAGGCACCGGTCGCTGTGATTGGTGGTGTCCAATCGAGCCGTGATCAATCGGGATCATCCCGTTTGCCACACTTAAATGGAACGCGATATGTGCAGTGTGTGTATCGTGTGTACAAACTTTTAATACTATTGTAATTTTTTATTAACATTTGTCGACTAATGCGGGGTCTACAATAGAAGTCGTAGCAGTCGTACAATCTTAAGTCGTAGAAAATTGACCAATCATAGTCGATTATTCTTCTCATATTCTACTGTGATTGATTAATTTTCTACGACTTAAGACCCTACGACCGCTACGACTCCTATTGTAGACCCCGCATAATGCCCGTATTCATAATCAGGCCTTATATTTAAGGCATCGTCTACAATACACGGAGTAAGAAGTAAGAGTAAGAAATTGACCAATCACAGTCGATTATTCTTCTCACATTCGAATGTGATTGGTCAATTTCTTACTCTTACTTCTTACTCCGTGTATTGTAGACGGGCCTATACATTCGTTATACTTCTATTTCTTATTATTGAATTTTCAAATGTATAGTCCAATAAAATTCTTATTGCTAAACGTTTAATTTTCATTAATTTTTTAAATTGTTGATTTTTTACTGTCACTAATTTTAAATAAACTTGAATGTGCTAAAATTGTATCATGATTCACAATTGGACTAGAACTAGTCACTCTAGTGAGAGTCGAGACACAAAACCAGAAAGACGCCATGTTTCAGTCTTATCAGAAACGGCTAATAATTGTTATTCTTCTTTAATAAACGACACTTGCCCTCGGAAAAATATGAAGGGGATCAATATGGCCAAAATTATACTGGCGATAATTATTTTAAGATAATTAACCGAAGCAAAAAAACGTCTGCCCCGGCGCGGGCGTCACCATCTTGACAAATATGGTACTACATCTATAAAAATTGCTCTCACTTATTCATTTACATTCATTAACAAACTATGGCGACACCAATCACGAAGAAGACCGCTTACGTCTCGGCTCTTACTAGAGTAACTCTACTTAGAACTAAATGTGGATCATCAATTATAATTTCGTTACACTGAAAAAAGAGTTTAGTTGAATTATTTGGAAATCTGGTAGATTCAACCAGTATGTCTGTTCAAAAACAGATGAATCAGAATTCTTGTAAGAATTACTGAATGAATTTGTTTAATTCCGTCTAATTAAATCTACCAGAATTTATTGTTGGTCTAATAATGCCTTCCCGTTGAGTCTACCAGATTTTCTTGTTGAGCGAACAATTATTTTCGTTAATGTATAACTAACCTTTAAAAACGTCTACATATTTCT